GGAGTGAGCGGGAGACAAAGTACTAGAGACGATCTCAGCGTGGTTAGGCCATGTGAGGTCATGTAGGGTTTGACTGCTACTTAGGGCAAGGTGACAAACTGCAGTGGACACTGCGGATGCTCTGCCTAGATCCCTTAACCGTGCACATCTACCCCCAGCCGCTGTGTTACACACCCACCCCTCCTCACCCCGGCAGCTTACAACCAACCACCACCGCCATGGCGGTACAAGAGGGGCCGACTCTGCTGAACAATTCAGGCTCTAGAGCTCCCCAAGGGTCAGGTCGGAGCCCGTCTGCAGCCGAGATTCCATCCTTGCTTAACTTTCTCCCTACCCTTTCCTGCTCCCCTGCCTCTGGTCTCCTGAGAGGACTCTTCCAAAAACCACATGCCTCACAGTGCCTTTTTCTTTCCTTTCCTTCCCTCCCTTCCCTTCCCTTCCCCTTCCTTTTTCCTTTCCTCTTCTCTTCTTTTCTTTTGAGAGATTTTTGCTACAGGGTGCATGTACTCACTGAAGCGACAGAGAGAGATAGGCAGACAGAAAGAGAAATCACCCCCAAGGGGGATGACCATGCTGCAATCCCTTCTCCTCCATTCTCCTCTCGGGATTTTGGGCACACATGCACACCCACCCAGCATGAGTTTAAGTCACCAAGTCCAGGACTTGAACCACAGTCAACTACTTGGCAGTCCAGCAATGTAATCATTATGCCATCTGCGGATCCCCAGAACCCCTTTTTCTGAGGAACTGCACCTAAGACAATTGTTACTGGATGCGGTCCTGGGAAGTTGGCTCTAAGAATAGGATCCTGGAGTTGCCTCGCCCCTCAGCTCGCTGGCAGTGAGGACCCCTCTCCGACAGCAGGTGAAGGAGTGCCTACTCCCTGGCACTTGGTAGTGATGTAAGCACTAAAGTGCACCCACGAGAAGGTAGGATGATAGAGGTGGGAGGTGGTATACTGGCTAGATGAATGCCTCTGGGAGGTGAGAGGCGTAGAGAAACCGAAACCGTCTCTGAGCTATGGATTTGTTTGGAATTTATCTCAGTACCAACTCTGCATTAGACTCAGGAATCGACCCGTGTGGACCTTGTCCACACATACACAAATGCGTTCTTCTCCACTGTTCTGGTCCCACTACTACAAAGAACAGCAGCCACCTCAGACTAGATTAACGACAGGGAAATGTATTCTATAGGCAGGGCTGGCTTGTTCTGTGGCTCAGCATTCAGAACTTGCTTGTTCCTATTATCCTCCTTCCCTGTCAGGGGTTTTGGCTGAGCCCAGCTGCAGCGGCCCAAGCAGCAGGAAATCACACGAGGCTGGGCCACATGAGGGGCCCAGGTTTGTATTCCTGACCTACCCACAACAGGCTGGGCCTGAGAGCACCTGCCTGTCATCCTAGCTAACTGGGGGGGTTGGGTCAAAGATCACAATGGTGAGACCGATCAAACTATCACCTCTGGGTCTGGCAGGTGGTATGGTAGTTAAGGCCACTGGACTCCCACATGGCTGACTGCAGTTCGAGTCCTGGACCTGGTGGCTTACTTTTGCTCTTGCATGCTCTCTAGACAAATTAAAATAAACAAACAAATAAATAAAGTTAAATAAAATAATGAAAAAAAATTACCCCCTCTCTTTTTGTCTCTGTCTCTCATAAAAAGAAGATACAGGAGAAGAGAGACAGAAGGATATGTTGGCTTTGTCCATGGCAGGCTTGCTTTCCTTAAAACCACAGGATAAACTGCCACAATTCTAGGTACTGTATTTAGTCACAGTAATAGCCATTAAAAGTCCTTCGAAAGGAAGAGTAACCTCAGCTTTAAAAGATAAATACATTTTTTTTCTTTTCAGTGTCTAATTATAGAAAATTTTAAGCGAAAGAAAAAGAATAGCAGCATGAATCGCCATGTGCCCCACATCCATGTTTATTGGTTATCAACTCACGACAGATCTTCCATGCATGCTGCCACCTGTTACTTTCCATCAGTATCCTGAGACCCCACCTGCAGCTACTGCCACCCCAGAGACAAATCTATGAAACAACATAAATGCACATAAAATAATCATTTTTAAAAGAATTAATTAATTAATTATTATTTAATTTGACCAGAGAGAGACAGGGAGAGAGAGTAAGAAAGTGAGAAAGCAAGCTAAGCTGCCAGGGCTGGGACTCAAACCACAGTCAGCCATGTGGGAGTCCAGCGCCTTAACCATCAGGCCAACTGCCGGCCCCAATAATAATTCTTTGTTTATTTCACAAGAGAGAGAGACTGACCAACAGTCAGACAGAGGTACAGCACCTTCAACAGAGTCTCAACACTGATCCACACCCCCAACTGCCTCAGCCAGCCCCATTCTTGGGTACACATGTCCTGCATTGTCTGGGAGGACTCCAGCTTTGAACCAGCAACCTTCTCATGTAGAGCTGCCTCATAGAGTGTCCTGTTTCACTCCTGCACCACCAACCAATCTCAGTAATAATAATTCCTTTTTAAATTTTTTGCCAGAGGGCACGTGTGCTTGTGCGCATGCACACGCAAGAAAGAGAGAGTGAACTCTCCAGAAGGCATTGGTCATGCTGTAGCACTCCTTCTCCCATTTCTCCTTCCTGTCAGAACTTTGAGCATGCACGCATAAGCACCTGGAATGTTTTTCTTTTTCTTTCTTTTTAAATATTTACTTATTTAATTTCACCTGTTATTACTATTTTTCAATTTGGCCAGATAGAGACAGAGAGAGAGAGAAAAAGCAAGCCGCCAGGTCCAGGACTCGAACCACAGTCAGCTATGTGGGTCGGCCATGGGTTGGCCAGTGCCTTTAACCACCATACCACCTGCTGGTCCCAGAGCACCTAGAATGTTTTACAAGCTGCCAGGGGTTGGCATTTGAACTTTGGTCAGCCATGTGGGATACAGCTCCTATTACGTAACACTTTCTAAATTTTCATGTAATCACATTGATCGACCTTTTTTTTGGTATTGTTTCTGAATTTTGAGCGATTGTTGGTGTAGTAAATTGAGGGGAAACAACCAATTCTTCCCTTCCTGGTAAGTGTGACTTTACTCCCTTCCCGACGAAAAAAACAAGGAATGTTCCTCCATTCCCTTGGATTTGGGCCGGTCTTGTACTTTCATATAACTGATACAAGGCCATGGAGGAGACTCTGCAAGTTCCCTCCTCCTTAGACACCTGAGTTGCCATGTGGAGAATCCTGGGCTCGCCTCCGTAATAATAAAGGATCACTTGGAGATCAGCAGATGGCATAATGGCTATATCGCTGGACTCCCATTGTAGTCTACCGTGGTTTGAGTCCCGAACCCAGTGGCTTAAATTCATGCCAGGCGTGCGTGCCCAAGATCCTGAGAGGAGAATGGAGGAGAAGGGATTGCGGCATGGCCATCCCCCCTGGGGAGTGATTTCTCGCTTTCTGTCTCTCTGTCTCTGTTTTTCTGGCGCGCGCACGGGCCCTATAGCAAAAACCTCTCCAAAAAAGGGGATCATTTAGAGTTAGCAGACGCTAACCCTAGATATGTGTGAGAGGCCATCCTGGAACATCCGGGTCCATGGTATCAGCTGACTGCCATTGTCCAAGTGACCCCAGGGGACACTAGCAAAGAACCACCCAGCTGAACACACCAAACCCACACAACTGTGAGG